AAATGGCATTGATTAGGTAATATTTGTCTTTCTACTCCATTTCCCTTTACTGAGGAACAAAAGTAAGGACTAAGTAAGGAATAAAAATGGCACATTCACAGCTATCTACCAGACTTTTGTTAGTTTGCCAGGAAGTTGGGGGAAGGGAGGCTCTGTTTTGTTTGTGGGGTAATCTCGGGGAAATACCGAACATCCTGGAAGGAGGACTGTTAGACCCTAGGATTGGTCTTTATGTCTAGAAGAACATGTTCTTACTCATGGAACTGACAGAAACTGTACGTTTTCTCTAACTTTAGCTTTTGTTCTGTACTGGTTGTTGTTGTTGTTAGTCCCTTTGTAATAGAGATGGGTGGATTTAATCCTGCCCCTACATTTGTATTCTGTGAAAATAAATGCTTAGGGAAGCACTTTCTCTGTGTGAGAGTCCTTTGTCATACTGAAAAGACTGGAGAGTAGCACTTAATTCTGTAGAGGTCATAGTGCTCAGTTCCTACAGCGGGGATTTGGCAGTGTATGGAAACCACTTTATTCCTCAAGAAATGACTCTAGCAAGACAGTGAATATACTTTTAATTGAGGCTAGTTTCTTCAAAGTCTGCACCCTTAATAATTGGGAGTATGGTGTAGGACATTTTGTAGAGATGTGTCCATTTTCTACTTAGGTTTAATCTTTTGGGTAAATAAATTCTGTACATGGAGTATGATTTACCAAAGGGATAAAAATTAATTTAAGACTAATTCAGTTCCATCGTATATACTAAGAATCTGTATCTCTTTATTCATTTATTTTGAGAAGGTGACGTATGTTTCCGTACTCATTTGATTTCACACCCTTTTTCTTTATTAAATTGCAGACTCTTTTGATGGTTTTTTTGTATCTTCATTTATCACAGCCTGAGTAAATAGAATTGAGGAAGTGATGGGTTTATAAGTCCCAAAATACAGTTTTTTACAAAAAAAGTATGAATGAGAAAAGGTAGATTTGTGACGTTAAAAAGAAACTATGACTTTCCCAAATGTTATAAGCTTATATTTAGGATGGCAGTTAGTTCATGGTTCCCTCAGTGATCCCTCCTACTCAGTGATATTGATACGGTTATGCTTGTAAGTGATTCCTTTTGTGAGCATAATTTAATTTTACTTCCAGCAAAGAACTGTGTTTAATATGGTAAAAGAAGGAGCTTTAATACAAATAAGTGTAAAATTAGTGTTAACTAGAAGGATAGAAAGAATGCAGAGGAGTAGATAAGTCATATAATTTGAAAACTCTGGCTAGGAGACTTGATCAGATTGAATACTCTGGGAAAAAGAAAGAAAAATACAGCTGGCCATTTAATATTTTGTGGAGATTTCTTTTGCTGGTCATAGAAAAACAAGGCTGTGATTTTTTAATTTTTAAGATCTAATTTCTCTTTCATCTTTATTGAAAATGTTTTTGTTCTTAATTGAAAAGGATTTAATATTCTTATCTAATCCTGAAATTTAAAATTAATTTCAGAAGAGTCATAGTATACAAGATAGTTGAGCTCTCAAAACTGAAATATTTTAATATCCATAAATAAATAAGGAAGCTGTTCAGAGGGTAATTGGTGAAAAATGATTAAGCAAAAGTAATGTTAGTAATAGTAGCTATTATATACTATGTGCTGGACACTATACTCAATCCTTTATTATGTGCATTTTATTTCTTCATTTTTTTCATAAAAAAATATATTTTGTATGTGGTCTTATTATTTCCATTGTTTTATGGAGGGAAAAAAAAGGGTCCAAACTCGGATCCATCTGATCCTCTAGGGCTCTAGAGATCATAACCATTTTAGGTTTCTTTGTAAGTAGGGTGAATTATCACATTGCATGCATTATTGATTTGTAAAAGTCAATATTATGACAAAATAGAAGTCTGTCCAGTTTCTTTTCCTTTTTACTATTCTCATGTCTTTCATAGATTTCAACAGGTTTATATAACTTGCCAGTTACCTTGCTGTTTATGGGTGGTTAATTTATTTTAGTTGGCTGAAACAAGAGCTTTTTAAAACCTAGGTTAGAAGTCATCTCTTCCAAGCCAGTGGTTCAACTGCGTTGATCACAAGAGCAATCTGTCATAGCTCAGGAGAGTCAGCACATATTTATTGGCACAACCAGAGTTCACTATATTATGGTTTCTGTTTTAGGAATTAGGTCATGATCTGAGAAAGCTGTAGCTGTTGTTATCAACCTGAGGAAACTTGTCTGTTTTTGTGGATTTTTTATAATAATGTTCCTCTTCATATATGGCTTTCAACTTCATTATACAAGAGACTGGTCTAGGCAATTATAGAAGATAAAGAATTTTTCTTAGGAATTCAGAATGTAGGAAAGTCATTAAGATTTGGTCACAGATAACTGTTGCAGTCCCAACCATAAAGAAATAATATAAAGACAAAAACTGAAGTCATGTAGAAAGACTAAAGTAGACATGTCTGAGAAGGTACTGTTGATTAGGTACACTTTTGAAAATCAAGTATTTCCTTTCTAGAGCTTATTTTTCTTACTACCTTAGGTTTTTTAATGTACTTCATTTCTTATTCTTGCTCCCTCCCTTTTTTTCTGATACAGATCATGTGGAATGGGTATGTTTCTCACCTTTGCCTAGAAGAAATTCTTCCAGCATTTCCATTAGGATAAACGTTTGAGCTAAACTGATTTGGAGGAGAAAGTTGAAACTACCTTTTCTTTGTAAAATGCCCACCATTATGATTTTAGATGTTGTCTTCAATGTTATCTTTGATGTTAGCAAAGCATGTTGTTTTCTGTAGTGATTCTTTATAAGCAGCTATAATTCTATTTATTCAGTCAAATTCTGTCTTATGAAGTAGTTCATAAACCTTACATTGTGAACCAGTTGGATGTAGCGGTTTTAAACTCATTCATGTGTATTTCGCTGTAGCTTGATATCGGTATCTCCTGGATTTTCAGCATGGAGTGGGGAAAGAAACCCTGATTACAGTTCTCTTTCTCCATTTAAGTTTCTCCATTTTTGTTTTGTTTTGTTTTGTTTTGTTTTGGCTCTTTTTCTCAACTGTCAGTGGAATTATTGTCTTCCTGTCTCCATATTCAGGTAGTATCAGTGGCTGAGTATCACCGCAGGATCGATGCTCTAAATACTGAAGAACTACGCACACTCTGCAGACGTCTCCAGGTGCCCCATTCAGTAGTTTAAACCCCTCCGGAGATTGAATACTCCCTGTTTTTAGTGTCTTTTGTCAGGGCAAATCTCATTTTTAAAGGATTTGTTTTGACTGCAGCACTAAAATAGCCCATCAGAAAATTCCTTTTTGTATAAAAGAGTACGGTTTTGCCTTGAAGAGCTCTAGGATTATCTTTTCTGTCATCTTTTCATTTTAAAAATATTCAGAGGAATTTTCTGTCACTGTAGAACTGTTCTTAGCACTGTGTGTTTCTTAGAGCAATGAGGAATGTTCATTTAATTTTAAAATTGGAAGAATGTTTTGGGTTTGAGGTTAAATCTTTACTAAATAGAATCTGAAAGATGAAGTACTATCAGGCAATTGAAAACCTTTTAATGAATACCAAGACTTCAATATTTTCTCTTCTTTAAGGTTATTTCAGTTGTATCAACCTCATATCAAATATTTTAATGAGATAAATTGTTTTTGTTTTTGAGGTATTCCTGGTTGGATGAGAAATACTTTGGAATAGTATACCCTAGACATCAGAACTAGATAAATTATTTAAAATTCCATGAAATAATCTTTGTGATTTTTTTTGAATAACAAAGTGATACAGTTGAACTCATTTTTCAGTTTTGTGTATTATTGTGTGTTTTCCTCTTCTTACTAAGATATGCTTTCATGGCTGTGCTAGAACTACTGATTTTTGTCTTTTCTTTTAATGCTTCTCATGCTGCCTTGGATTTTTTTTTAACCTTTCACATCATCAGAATAAGGGTAAAACATGCTGATGATGTGAAAGAATTAATATAGTTTAACTTCTCATCAAAAAGCAATACAGTTCTAGGACGTGTATTGGTTGAAAATATATGCTATTTAGGTTTGGTAAGAAATCTGTTAAAGGACAAAATAGTTTAGCAGGATTTCATTCTTAATGGAATCAGTCGCTGTGCATTGCTGCATTTTAGTTATCTGCTCCAATAGAATTTTCCAACTTAAAAGTTTCATCAGTAGTTATATTTTATATCTTTTATTTCCTAATATTATTGCATTTATATATTAAAATTAATAGTGGTACTTTATAATTTATTAATAAAATATGAAAAAGTATCAACAGAATAGATTGTATCTGACTTTGAGTTAATTGACATTTTTATTGTTTTAAGAATATCAGTGAGATCATTTCCATCATGCAAAAGCGTATATTCTTTTTTAATGCATCACGTTTATCTAGTTTTTAAATATAGTTATGAAAAAATTAAATCTATTGTGTGGTCCAACTCGATTAAAAAAAGTGTTTTGAAAATAAAATTAAGGAAGGCATTTTCTAAGTAATGGTAATTTTTCAGTGAAGCAAATAAATCTATGTATGCACACATACTGATGAAAATTATACTTTTTATTGGATCATTCCTTAAAATTTTGGCACCCAGAAAGTTTTCTTAATTATTTTTGGCAAATTTTATGTTTACCATGAAAAAAATCCCACATATTTTAAATAGCACAGACAAATAGCAAGCTAGCTGGCTCACTTTTGCCCTTCAACAGGAAAATTAAAGTTTGCATGTAACTTTTCCTTTCACACAGAAATAATCATTATCTTTCCATCATATAGTGGTTGAGAAAAATGTCTGTTTATAGTTAAAAAATCTTTTTCTACATTGGATATACTATTGTTATTTGATGGAGCATCTTTTGCCTTCTAAAATCCTAAATTAAAGTTTTAGCCCACTTTTTTAAGGTACAAAGTTTTATTTCTCTCAAAAGGCAGAAATTGTTTAATGCATGTTGCAATTTTATATTAACATGCTGCTGCTGTTTACTTCTTTAGATTACTACAAGAGAAGACCTAAATTCAAAGCAGATTGCTCCATTGAAAGCAGACCTGGAGTCAGAATCTTTTCGACCAAACCTAAGTGATCCCAGTGAACTCTTACTGCCAGATCAAATTGAAAAGGTATAACATACCCACATACGTGCATTTCTGAGTGTGTGCCTGTAAGAGTAAAACAGCATCTTTTCGGTTTTCAACACTAAAGAAGCAGGGTTACTGCTATTAGTCTTCCTTTCCTGTGAATAAAAGTAAACAATATATAGCAACTAGTGTAAAAGATGATGTTAGGAGCAGACATTAAAATAAATGATAGCAGTTTAGATGAGATGTTGTAATAGCCAAAATTTTAATTTCTTACTGTGTACTAGTTACTTGTTTTCTGTGGTTATCTGATGTAGTTTTTTACAGCCCCTATAAAGGGGTTGGATACTCTTACTGTGTGTATTTTTTGAATGAAAAAATTTAGGCATAAAGAAATTTAGTATCTTGTTCAAAGTCACACAGCTATAAAATGTTGAAGCTTGATTTCTAGGGCCCATTATTTGAGAAGTTGTTAATAATTAAGCTAACAGTCCATTCAGTATTTTTGTTAATACAGAGGGTGAAAACAGTAAGTAATCCCTATTTCTTGTCTGTCTTCTAATTCATGTCTTGTTTGGCATGTTCCTTTCTTTTCCTGGTGAGCAATTACTATTTCATGCTGAGAAATGTACAATTATTCTTCAGGCATCTCTGTATCTTTGAGAATAATCTCTACTGTTATTTTTGTAGCATATATTTTATGAAGTACCATTACATTTCAGCTGACATTACTATCTTGCACATTGACAATAAGCTATCAAGTAAAATATTAACATTTTATTTCTCAAAGCTTACCAAGCATCTTCCACCAAGAACAATTGGCTATCCATGGACTCTTGTTTATGGCACCGGGAAGCATGGCACAAGCTTGAAGACCCTTTATCGAACAATGACAGGTTTAGACACCCCAGTGCTGATGGTGATTAAAGACAGTGATGGGCAGGTATGAAAAATAACTACATGGACACCTTACCCTTTAAGAGATTACAGTAAAAATAACATTTAATATATTTTTTGATAAAAATTATTTTCATTACATTTTTATTAAGTTTAACTGATAATTTTATTGAATACTTCTAATATGTATACAAGGCATTTTTGAGTGCTACAGAGGATAGATATGAGCATGAATCATTAAAGGGATTATAGTCTGGTAAAAAACATTTAAGTGTACCAATATCTCCTGGAACAAGCAAAATATGCCAAATGTAGTGAGAACCTAGAGAAAGCAGAAGGGGTGTTCATATTTATCTGGACAGGTAAGAATGAGGTTCATGGAAAGGGTGAAAATTGATAAGAGTCTTGAAGCATAGGTTAAAGTTTTGAAAGTTAAAGAGAATTGTGTGAGGATGGTACCAAGAACAAAACCATAGGTAAGCAAGAGACATATTGGTTTGTTCCTGAAACATCAAGTTCAGGTCAGTCCAGATTGGAGAGTAATGAGAGGATGAAATAGCAAATTAATTTAAAAAACAAAACACTACTACTATTGACACCTTTATTGTGCTTTTCCCACACATTTGACCAATCATTGATAGGCATTATCTTCTTTAATCATCAAAGCCCTATGAGATTGATAGTTTTATGATCACTGTTCTAAGGAAGAGTTAACTATGACTAAAAGAATTTCATCGGCTTCCCCAAAGTTAAACACCCAGTAAAAGGTAATTGCAGCATGAAAATGAAGGAACTGCTTACTACATGCCACAGCATAGATAAGTGTCACAAATGTAATAATTGAGTTGAAAATCAGACACTACGGAGTAACTATCTTATGAATGCATTTAAGGAAAGGTTATAAATAGGCAAAACAAATATATGGTATTCAGGCTATTTAGCTTCCCTTTGGAAAGTGGGTGTGGTGATGCAGAGGAGGCACAAGGACAGCTTCTGAAGTGCTGATGATGTTCTGTTTCTTGATCTAAATGAAGGTTAAATGGGACTTTGCTTTGTGATAATTCCACATTGAGCTGTGTATTTATATAAAACGTGTATATATATGTATGACATATACCTTTTAATAAGAAAATCTATTTTAAAAATTGAGACTGTCAAAGTAGATTATCAGTAGATTATCAAAAATTAAGATTATAAAAGTGACTATAGAAATTATCTGTAAAACTCTCTACATTCCCATTTTATCATGTGGAAACTTAGACCCAGAGCATTGAAATAACTTGTCCCAGTTCCTTATTCACTCATTCTTTTTTTAGGTTATTTATGTTGCGTGTTTTGTTCTGTGTAAGAGCATAGCATTACAGGTCCAAGCACTTCAGGCCAGAGACCTTCCCTCATGGGATTTATTGTCTAATGAGGACAAAAAGAGCATATACCTTTTTAGTAGTAGAACGTTTACCCACGCAGAAGGGTTTTTGCTTTCCTTAATCCTGTAATTCCACTGTAACGTGTTATCCTTATTGTACATGCATTGTGCATATAAGTTCTCCTGAAATGTGATAATCACTTTTTAAGATTGTTAATTGTTAAAATAAGCATCCTTTCAGATTTCAAAACTAGGAAAAATTTCCCATTGAGAAACTGATATGCTTTGTACTTCACAATAATGCAAATTTTATAACAGCTGATCGTGTTTCCCTTTTTAAGTAGGAGGAGATCAAATTATATTACATTTCTGGGTTTTTTTTGCATCTTACTTAAACCTAAATAATGAGGTAATGCTTAATGAAGCAAATTAATAGTCATGTCATTGAACATGCCTTTTTTTACTCCTTAGGTTTTTGGTGCATTAGCATCTGAGCCATTTAAAGTGAGTGATGGCTTTTATGGTACTGGAGAGACCTTTGTTTTTACCTTCTGTCCAGAGTTTGAGGTAAGGACAATTATTCCAATATTCAGTTTATAAAGAGATGGCATAATGAAAAGAACATGCACCTTGGAGTCATATACACTTGCATTTGTCTCTCATCTCTGTCTTTTGCTAACTGTAACTTAGCACTTTTTGACCATTTTGAGGTTCAACTTTGCTATGGATAGAATAGGAACCATAAATGTAACAGGATTGTTTAAAAATTAAATGAGAATCATATATACAACACTTGGCATAGTGCCAGACATACATCATGGTCTCAGTAAGAAGTATACATCATCGTTACTGTTGTGAATTGCCATTGTGAAATTCTTAGAAACTTTCAGTGACTTAAGTTGCATGATGTAAGTATTGAAAACTTAAAAAATAAATCATTTGGGTTTAAATCAGTTAATTACCTGACTTTTTCTTTATTATGGCTTGATTAAATTGAATACATTCCAATGCCAATAAGATCTAAAATGTAAAGATGTACAATGAATTTTAGTCAATATGTTGACTGTTTAAAACATTGCATGCAATTGCAGCATTTTGGGTACATTAAAATTCAGTGTGTCAAACCTTTACTTAAGAGATCTTGAAAAAAGGTTAAAGAAGTAGTCTTTAGAAATAGTTTCTATAATGAGCAGAATAGTTTCTATAATGAGCAGATAACACACTAGAAGATTTCTTAACAAACTTGTGCTTAACTGGCTTACCGGATTAGCCAGTGCTTTCCATTCCCTCATAAAACATAACCAATGCCTACAGCTAACTGGAAGTTTATAATTTGTTACAGTTTTTTTTTTAAAGATTTATTTACTCATTTTAGAGATAAAGTGTGAGTGGGGAAGGGGTGGGGGCCGAAGGAGAGAGAGGCAGAGCAGCAGACTCCCCACTGAACATGGAGCCTGATGTGGGGCTGTATCTCACCCATGAGATCATGACCTCAGCTGAAACCAGGAGTCAGGGGCTGAACCAACTGAACCACCCAGGTGCCCCTGTTACAGATTTTTTAAGCATCAGTTGTGCTTATACTTAAATCTTTTTATGCTGTTTCTACCAGATTATGTAATTAATTTAGATGTTCTATAACTATGAAAAAGTGAATGTTAAAAGTTTATTTTATTGAAAACTATAATGAATACTTAGGAAAAAGTTGATAAAGGTGAGGTGTGCAGTGCTAGAAATTGCTGTTGTATTAGGTTTAGGTAAAACTCCCATGGAAGGTTAGTAAAAAATATTTAAGAATATGAACATCTAGAAATTTTGCTCTTGGACTTAAGTGTTTTTATGTTCTCACTGCTCTTTAAAAAAATTGAAACTAGAAATCATAAACATATGTAGTGGGCTTATATAAGAATGATGATAGGCAAATCTGTATCCAAAGAAAAGACCTTGGCCTTATATCAAAGTATTATCAAATTAGTGTACATTTATGTTTAATGTTAAAATAAAAGTTAATGGCATCTATATCAATTTTTTAACTGATTTTCTGCTTTCTTCAACTTTTTTCATTAACCGTCCAATTCTTGATGCATACATAGAAAAGAGAAGTATCTATAAAGAGATAATAATATTTGAGGAATTGGAAATGAAAGTTGTGTGCTTTTAAACTTAGTAATACAAATACTGAAGCACAAAGCACCAGACCCTTCTGCCCAATCTTTTGTTCTTACTGTTATTAATCTCTTACTGTCAATCTAGGCTTTGTTAAGTACTTGGGCATTAGGAGAACTAACTCTGTATAGTGACCATTTTCATCTACATATTTAAAGCTTTTTATTTTTGTAGGTCTTTAAGTGGACAGGAGATAATATGTTTTTTATCAAAGGAGACATGGATTCACTAGCTTTTGGTGGTGGAGGGTAAGTCTCTTGAACATTTTACCATGAGATTTTTAAAGAAACTATTCATCTGTGTTATTTATAAAGTCAGTTATTTTTGGAAAATTTTGACATTAGAATCTTAATTTGTATATTATGACTAAGAAAACAATGTATTTACAAGAAGGTGCTTATGTGTAGTATGTGAAACTTGATAAAATATTTGTTTATTAATTTTAAAATGCTGTTGATTCCCTTTTGATTAAAACCCATCTTTTAGTATTTGAAAGTGAAATACACTAATACCTTAGACCTTCTCAAATTTTTTTTTAATTTTTTATTGTTATGTTAATCACCATACATTACATCATTAGTTTTTGATGTAGTGTTCCATGATTCATTGTTTGTGCATAACACCCAGTGCTCCACACAGAATGTGCCCTCTTTAATACCCATCACCAGGCTAACCCATCCCCCCACCCCCCTCCCCTCTAGAACCCTCTCACATTTTTTAAAAAACCACGATGGTATGTTGTTTCTCCCAGTGTATAAAAAGATCAATTGTTTCCTTTTTTTTCTACCCTGGAGACTATTTGGATTGATAGTTCAGAGAATAATAGAAACTTGTTTTCCTACCAAAAAATTGTGACACACCGTCCCCCCAGATTTTCAGAATTTGTTTTCTTACTTGCTTTGTTTTTAACAGTATCTGTTAGTCATGAATTTGATTTGATTCTTTTGCATAGCAAGCACTATGAGAACTTTTATTTATTCATTCTGGTATCCCAGCTTCATTCAGTCTTTACAGTGTTTGGAAGTAATTGGCTCTACTTCCTGCTAGCCTAGACTTTCAAATAGTGCTTATTAGCAAATGTTGACTCCTTCTTTTGTTATTTCTCTCTGTCCTTCAGGACCAGACATAAAGTATGCTAAGTAATTCCCAGACTTATACAAGTATTGTTTCCCCCAACTGAGGATATATAATAATTCACTCAGGCTGCAGAATCTTGTTAGCCTGCAAGAATATTCATTATCCTGAACAATTCTAACAAATTCTCTTACAACTTCTCTATAGATAGGTGTTTGGAGACATGATTTCAGTGATTAAAAAATTACCATGGTTATTATAGCCTTCTCTGAAGGACATAACCAGATAATTAAAAACCATGTTATTTTTAGTTGTTAGAATCAGCATATGTTTATATGTTCCAGTTACACCTTTTTTTATTGGTGGGGTGCAGGCAGTCATTCAGCCCTATCCCAAATGGTAATCTTACATGTGATTCAGTTAGCTCTCCAGGAAGGCCTCACAAGCAAATGGCTGATAATTTCAAGCTGTTAAGTGTACCTTGAATCTTTTTTCTTTTTCCCAAAGTTGCTAGGTTATTTTTATTTATTTTTCTTATTTTAAATTTTTTATTGTTATGTTAATCACCATGCATTACATCATTAGTTTTTGATGTAGTGTTCCATGATTCATTGTTTGTGCATAATATCCAGTGCTCCACGCACAACGTGCCCTCTTTAATACCCATCACCAGGCTAACCCATCCCCCC